CAGGAGCCTGAACTTGGCCGCTCCGTGCTCGGTATAAGCTCCTATAAGTGTAGGCTCCAAGAAGCAGTCCCCGCGGGCTCAGTTCCGGGAGCCGGAATTCGGCCGCTTAGTGCTTGGTGTATGCTCTGGTAGGAGCAGGGTCCAAGAAGCAGCCTCTGCAGGCTCCGCAGCCCTGGGCCAGGGCGGTTCCGGGATGGTTCCGGGAGCCGGAACTCGGCCGCCCCGCGCTCGGTGTTCGCTCCGATAAGATCAGGTTCTAAGAAGCACCCAGGCACTGAACCCTAGCAATCTGTCTGCAAGCCGCAGGCGAATTGCAGCCTGAAATTACCTGTTCTATGGCTGAATGAGCTGCGGTCAGTCGAAAACAGGGATGGTGACGTCAGCTTTCCAACATGGTGGCTGCTGGCCTCCTCTGTGGTCTGACCGGTGTGGAGAACCGAGATGGACCGCTTCCTTCCCCCGTCTCGAACCCAGAATTCAGCCCTGAGTACGGTGCTTTCACGGCTGGCAGAAACTGCAGCGCTGTATCCCTGCGTCGCTATCTCCTCGTTTCCCAGCGCGCGCTGCAGACTCTAGCCGCGGGGCGATTTGCTGAATAAGCAGTGTTACCCTCCGTGCGACAAACCTCTTGCGTTTGAGTCCCCGTAGCCGATCCTCGTGCGATGGAAATCCTTCCTCCAGGTTCCGGAGCACCCCACTATTGCTGGAAATTCCTAACAAGATAGCCTTTAGCCGTCCTGACTTGTCATACTCCCACACAGTGAAGCAGCACACGGGGGCAATGCACTCCCCTCGCCGCCATCTTCCGGATATTTTCCTTTCTGTTCCACACCAAGTACGTGTAACTTTCTCATATGCATGGACTCTCATATACTGCTATGGACTAAATGTTTATCTCACCCCCCCCTCCAAATTCCTATGTTGGAACCCTAGTCTCCAATGGGATGGTATTTGGAAATAATGCATCTGAGAAAAATTAGGCTCTAAGGGTGGAGCTCATGATGAGATTAGTGCTCTTCTGTGAAGAAACATGAAAAAGCTTCCTCTCTCTCCTCTCAATATATGAGGACATCACAGGAAGGCAACTGTTCACACACAGTCAGAAGTAGGAACCCTGACCTCAGACTTCCAGACTCCAGAACTGTGAGAAATACATGTTTATTATTTAAGCCACCCAGACTATGTTATTTTGTTACAGCAGCCAGAGCAGACTAAGAGACACACCAAGAGATTACAGCCATCTATTGTCTAAATTCAACCTACAATGAAAAAGAAATTGGCAGTCTCATCAAGGTCAAACTGGGTGCTGAGAGGAATAAATACTTACCAACTTTAAAAAAAAAAAAAAAAGAAATTGGCAGTCTCAACTTGGTATAGGCAAGTACCTTACAGTAAGATTTAGTTATATTTAAAAAACCATTTGGGTTAAAGAAGGGTTATAAGAAAAGACTATTAATTTATTTATTTATTTTTTTTTCCTTTTTTTTTTTTTTTTTTTAATTTTTTATT